AGCGCCCACGCTCGCAGCCCAGGCCGCTGGGGCCTGCCGCCGTTGGCGCTCCACCGCTGAGATCGACGCTGCCGATGGGCGCCGCGGCCGTCTCCGAGCCCCCGCTGCCCGCGGCCCAGGTCCCGGCCCATCCCCGTCAGCTCCTCAGCGCCGTCTGCTCTATGGCTGTGCGGGCAGCGATTCGGAGTGCTCGGCTGGACGCCTGGGGCCCCTTGGACGCCGGGGTCCCTCGGGCGGCGGCGGCTACGGGGAGAGCGAATCCAGCGCCAGCGAGGGGGAGTCACCTGCCTTTAGCTCCGCATCCAGCGACTCAGACGGCAGCGGGGGCCTCGTGTGGCCGCAGCAGCTGGTGGCGGCCACCGCAGCCTCCGGGCCAGGGGGTGGTGCAGGTGGAGGGGCGCCTGCAGGCCCCGCCAAGGTCTTTGTAAAGATCAAGGCCTCCCACGCGCTCAAGAAAAAGATCCTGCGTTTCCGTTCAGGTTCTCTCAAGGTCATGACTACAGTGTGAGTTTAGGGGTTCGATTCGGCTCTCCATTTATGGCCTCTGCGCCTCCATACTCCCACTCACTAACCCTTCCACACCTCCCTTCCAAAGACCACAGTTTTCTTTGCTTCCAAAGACCCTCCCTCCCCCGCCACCACAGGGAGGAATGGGGGAGGGGCCTTGTTTGACCCAGTTCAACTTCTGGCTCTGGAGCCCTTAGGCAAGAAAGTTCCCCTTGTCTGGGCCTCACTTTCCTCAGCTGTACAATGGGTGCCCGTGTATGAGGAAGGGATAATTCAGTTTGAATTTCCCTATTTTAGTTTAGACACTTAGTCTGTTTCTTTGTCTTCATTTCTCTTGTTGAATCCCTTCATTCTTCTTTCTAAGCCTCCTTTCTATGTCTCCCTCTCATTCACAAAGTGCCCCCCTCCGTGTCCCTTGGCACCCTGGTCAGAGACTATGTCTGTCCCAGGTGGTGCCTGCAGAGTGCCCTGGGAAGGGAAGGAGCGCTGACTTTGGGGTTTTGAGGGTCAAGTAGGAGTTGGCAACACCTGGAAAGACTCTTTCACCTCTATCCCTGGACAATTATGGGGATTGGGAGGTGGAAAAGAGGAAGTAGGGTGGTATCTATCTTGTTCCTCCCGCACCTCACGACAGGGAGTCGGGGGAGCTCAGGATGACCCTCAGCTGTTCCAATCCAGTATTTTTCTTTTTAAAAATTACTGTATTTATTATGACGATGGTGACTCCCCGGTGCACAGGGGGGCCAGATTCTGTGTGTTTCTCTAGCCTCTTTGTAAATAAATGCACAGTGTAACGTGTGGTGGACTCTTGTTCTCTGCCAGAATGGGAGACATGCCTTTCCTTTGGACTAACATTGATTAACTAACGCTTAACACAGAGTAACTACTGTGTGGTTTAGACATGGTAGTGCCCAGAACCAGATGACAGATCCTGGGGTAGATCTCAACAGCGTCTTCCTACCGTACACTATTCTACTTCAGTGAATCTGCCTTTCATTGAGTTAAATTTTCGTCGTAAATATGGTTTCAATGGAGGTAAAGGGGCAACCTGCAAATCCCCTTACTTAACCGCAGTGCCTTTCCAAGAAGTCATAACAAATTTGATGCAAGTGCACCCTTGCATTTTTTCTTTGTTTGCATACATCTATGAATCTAAATAACTATAAATACATATAACTATATATGTAATATAACTGTACGTCTATAGTTATATATATGTCTAGATACATACATAAACACCAAAAAACCTGTTGCTGTAGAGTTGATTCTGACTCATAGTGACGCTAGAGGACAGAGCAGATCTGCCCCCATAGAGTTTCCAAAGAGCAGCTGGTAGATTCGAACTGACAGCCTTTGGATTAGCAGCCAAGCTCTTAACCACTGCGCCACCAGGGCTCCATGTATTTGCATAAATTGGACTATATGTGTTGTTTATCGTTCCTGTTTTGGGGGTGAAATCTCTGCCTGGAGGTTTATTTCTGGGAAAGTTTAATTAAGGATTGAATTTCTTTGATGGTTATAGCACTACTTAGCTCTTTTTTTAAAAACATTTTACTGTGTTTTAGGTGAAAGTTTACACAGCAAGTTAGTTTGCCATTCAATAATTCATACACAAATTGTTCCATGACGTTGGTTGCTATTCCCCACTGCTGCCCCCACCCCCCCCCCCCACCCCCCTGGCAAGGTGTCAGCACTCTTCCCATTTCCATCCCTCCAGTTTCCCTGCCCCTCACTGCCTTCTCATTTTTGCTTTTGGGCGAATGTTGCCCGTTTGGCCTCATATAATTGATTGTAGTAAGGAGCACATTCCTCACGGGTGTTATTGTTTAATTTTATAGGCCAGTCTATTACTTGGTTGAAAGGTGATCGCTGGGAGTAGCTTCAGTTCCATGTTAAAAGGATGTTTTAGGGTGATAGTCTCGGAGGTTCCTCCAGGGTCCATCAGTCCAGTAAGCCTGATCTTTTCTTACGAATTTGAGTTCTGTTTTACATTTTTGTCCCATTCTAACCAGGACTTTCTGTTGTGTCCCCTTGTCAGAGTGATCGGTAGTGGTAGCTGGCACCATCTAGTTCTTCTGGTCTCAGGCTAGAGGAGGCTGTGGTTCATGTGGACCGTCAGTCCTGTGGACTAATTGTTTCCTTGAGTCTTTGGTTTCCTTCACTCTCCTTTGCCCAGACAGGAGAAGACCAATAGTTGTATCTTAGATGGCTGCTTGCAAGCTTTTAAGACACCAAATTCTACTCACCAAACTAGGCTGTAGAACATTATCTTCATAAACTATGTTATGCCATTTGACCTAGACGGTCCCAGAGACTATGGTCCTGAGCCTTCAAACCCACTAACTCAGTACCACAAGGTGTTTGTATATGTCTAGGAAGTTTCCATAACTGTGCCCCTTATGTGCTCTATTACATATATGAATACATATGCAGCTTATACAAATATGTGTATACAAATGCCCACAACTATACTTATATATGCACACCCATGTACTCCCATATGCTCTCCCACACCTATAATAGCATGCATATCTATCTATGTAACCACTCATATTTTTTGCTTGTTATTACTGCTGCAAGATTGTATGTTACAGCATTTACCATAGTTGTCCTTTAATCCTTTAATTCTTGTTTACCTCTCAGTGTCTTCGTTTACCTTGGTCACTGTGTTAACTTCCGCCATATTGTGTATTGCCTTTCCCTTCACCAGAATTGGAGCCCTGGTGGAGCAAGTCGGCAATTCGAATCCACCAGCCACTCCTTGGAAACCCTATGGGGTAGTTCTGCTCTGTCCTATGGGGTCACTATGAGTCAGAGTCG